CGGCCAGCACACCATGCTGATCTGAAGGCAGGAGCCAGGTGCTTCCTCCTGGTCTCCCATGCGGGTGCAGGACCCAAGCACTTGGGCCATCTTCCACTGCCTTCCTGGGCCACAGCAGAGAGCTGGCCTGGAAGAGGAGCAACCGGGACAGAATCTGGCGCCCTGACTGGGACTAGAACCCGGTGTGCTGGCACCGCAGGCAGAGGATTAGCCTAGTGAGCTGCGGCGCCAGCCAAAGATTCATTTCTAAGAGCAAATGGACCAAATGAGTAAGAATAAAACAATCAGCTAAGATACAAGCTAACATCAGCACTCTTTCAAGATAGACAACTTTGGAAACTAGTACCTGAAGATGATTCTTTTCCGAGTTCCTTAGTCTGTTGCTTGACGGTTATTCAGAACCAAATCGGGGGATTCTGGTGCACTTGGTCCACAGGAATATGTAAATCAGTAAGTGAACAAAGCAATAGTTTAAATTAGTTGTCTTGAACAGCAGTTTCATATTTAGGTAACTAATTAAATACAGAGTGATGACTAGATCTAAAAAGTACTGATAGAGAGTGGAAAAGGTTTTAATTACTGGATCAAACTTTCAAGTGTTAAATATAAAGTAAAATGTTTCCTTCTTTGCTGGTCTGATTCTACTTTCATTTTTCTATATTTTAGGATGTTAAAAATTTTGAGTTGATTTTTTTTTGCATTTCACTTTAAAATTGAAAATTTTTTATCTACCAAAAAGTGCTAGGTATTAGAAATAAAATTTCATATACAGCTCTCAAGACAGCCTAGAAAAGTTTGAGTGTGGTTGTGACTTATTTATAAAACTATTTGGTATGTTCTCAAAGGAGGTTTTGCATGTTTTCACGCAACAGCAGCAAAAACAAAATCATTCCAAGTTGTCATAAATGGTGTTAATGTGGAAAGATTTTTTTGCAAGGGACAATAAAAAGCTGAGGCTGCTGTTAATATAATATTGCTGGGGGCGGGGGTGGCGGTGGCATCTGGCACAGCGAAGACGCTGCTTGGTACACCCACATCCCATATCGGAGTGCCTGAGTTCCCGTCCCCACTCCCCTTCTGATCCAGCTTTCTGCTAATGCGCACCCCGAGAGGAGCAGGTGACAGCTCGTGTACTTGAGTCTCTGCATCCACATGGGGGATCCAGATGGAGTTCTGAGCCCCTGTTTGCAGCCTGGCCCACTCTGGTTGTTTGGGCATTTGAGGAGTGAACCAGTGGATGGAAAATCAATCTTTCTCTCTCTGGCTTTCAAATAAATAAAAATTAAACTAAAATTTTTTTAAAAGCTTGGATTTTCAAAGTAAACATTGAAAATGATGAAAAAATGATAATTCTTGGGAAAAAACACTCAATAAATAAAAATGACCTTAAATAACTATGTACCTAACTTATTATAGACTGCATAAAGTTTTTCTAGTTATAATTCTTAATAACTTACAAAAGTTAAAGACATCAAGTTTTTAAGGCAAATTACAATCATTTAAATTTTTAATTGCAGTCAACTGAGAACATAAATGCTACCATTCTCCCTACCCCAGAAGTTCTTCTTCCCCTAAATGTGATCCTATAAAAGCTATAGATAATAAAAGAAAAAAATTGATAATCCAGATGAAATGGGAGAATTCTCTCAGTGATACAACCTACCAAAATTCCCCAAGAGGAAACATACAATCTGAATCGGTCTACATCTTTTGAAAAATTAGAACAATAATAAATTAACTTCTAACACAAAAAGCACCAGTCTCAGATGGGTTCACTCAGATGAATTTGGTGAGCTACACTGAACATTTAAGAAATTTTATTAACTCTCCTCAGTCTCTTTTGGAGGATAAAGGAAGAGGGAAGGGGTCGGTGTAGTACATCAGGTAAAGCTACCACCTGTGAACCATATGGGAGCAGAGAATGTTGGCTGGAGGCCCAGCTGCTCTGCTTCCAATCCAGTTCCCTGCTGTGCCTGGGAAAGCAGCAGAAAACAGTCCAGTAGTTGGTCCCCTGCTACCCCGTGTGGGAAACCCAGAGGGAGTTCTGTGCTCCTGGCTTCAATCTGGCCCAGCTCCAGCTGTTAAGGCTATTTGGGGAGTGAAACCAGCAGATGGAAAATCTACGTCCCTCCCTCTCTATCACTCTGCCTTTCCTACAAACCAACATTTAAAAAAAAAAATGAAAGAAGTTATACTACCTAACTTGTTCCATGAAGCCAGCAGTACTCTATTATAAAAAACAAACAAAGGAAGTGTAAGAAAATAGCAGATCACTATCTTTCATAAACACAAATATCAACAAAATGTTAGTAAATAGAATCCAACAATGTGTAAATAAAGAATTGTACATTATTGGGGCCTTGCCTTATTACTGATGTTACTGGTAAAGAGTTTCTCATTATTAAATATGATGTTGGCTGTAGAGTTTCTGTAGATATTTTTTATAATGTTGAGAAAGTTCCCCCGTATTTGTAATTAACTCAGAGTTTTTAGAATAAATGAATGGTTGTTGGGATTTGTCAAGTACTTTTTCTGTATTGTTGATAATCAGTGAGTTTTCATCTTTGGCCTTTAAAAAAAGATTTTTTATTTATTTGGAAGCAAATAACAGTAGAAGCAGTACAAGATGGCTCAAGTCCTTGGGCTCCTGTACCGGCATGGGAAGACTCGGAGGAAGCTCTTGGCTCCTGGCTTTGGATCAGCGCAGCTCTAGCCATTGAGGCCAATTGGGGAGTGAACCAGCAGATAGAAGACCCCTCTCTCTCTGTCTCTCCTCTCTCTCTGTGTAACTCTTTCAAATAAATAAATAAATAAATCTTTAAAAACAAATAACTATACATTAAAATCAAGTGAGATTTATCCTTAGTATGGAAGGCTGGCTTGAAAAATCAATTAATGTAATACGTCACATCAAAAAGCCAAACAAGGGATGGGTCTTGAGGCACAGCAGGTTAATTTACCATGTGGGATGCCAGCACCCTGTATCAGAATGCCTGGCCTGAGTCCTGGATACTCAGCTTTCCGGTAACGTGCTCGGGAGGGAGCAGGTGATGGCCCAAGTCTTTGGGTTCCTGCCACCCAGTGGGGAGACCTGGATTTCTGGCATCTGGCTTCAACCTGGCCTAGCCTTGGCCTACCTACTACAGGTATTTGGAGAATGAACAAGCAGATGGAATATCTCCCTCTCCTCTCTGCCATTCTGCCTTCCAAATAAATTAAAAAAACTTTTTTAAAGGCCAAAGACGAAAACTCACTGATTATCAATAGATACAGAAAAGACACTTGACAAATCCCAACAACCATTGATTCATTCTAAAAACTCTGAGTTAATTATGAATATAGGGGAACTTTCTCAACATTATAAAAATTATCTATAGAAACTCCACAGCCAACATCATATTTAATAATGAGAAAATTGACTCTTTCCCAGTAACATCAGTAATAAGGCAAGGATGTATCCTCCCACTACTCTTCTACAACACAAGAAAAACATTTGCTCTACAGAAGAGACTGTTAAAGAGAATAAGACGACAAACTACAGACTGGCAGAAAGTATTTGCAAAAGGCATATTTGGGAGCTGGCGCTGTGGTGTAGTGGGTAAAGCCGCCACCTACAGTGCTGGCATCCTATATGGGCGCCACTTCAAGTCCTGGCGGCTCCACTTCCAATCCAGTGCTATGCTATGGCTTGGGAAAGCAGTAGAAGATGGCCCACGTCCAGTGGGAGACCCAGAAGAAGCTCCTGGCTCCTGGCTTCAGATCGGTGAAGCTCCGCCTGTTGTGGCCAACTGGGGAGTTAACCAGCAGATGAAAGACCTCTTTCTCTCTGTGTAACTCTGACTTTCAAATAAATAAAAATATATATTTTAAATATTAAAAAATAAAAGCGCATATTTGATAAATTATTGGTATGGGGGAAGGAACCACTATATTCTTAAAGTTGTACCTATGAACAATGCATTCATTAAATAAAAACTTTAAATATATATATATATGTTAACATTCAGCAACAAAAAAATGAACCCAATTTAATAATGGGAGGAGCTGAACACATACCTCAACAAAGATTATACAAATAAAAAATAAGCATATTAAAAGATACTTCATATACCATGTTGGAGATGCGAATCGAAATGATACCAACATACACTTATAAAAATGACCAAAATCCAGAATGTTGATGACAACAAACACTAGCAAGGATACTGAGCAGCAGGAACTCTCATTCATGGCTGACAGAACATGAAATGATACAGCCACTTTGAAAGACAGTTTGGCAGTTTCTCATAAAACAAAACACACTCTGACCATACACCCAGAAATCTCACTCCTTGGTATTTACCCAAAGGAAGTCAAAAAATGTGTCACTGTGTCACACAAGAACCTGCATACGGATGTTTATAGCAATTTTATTCACAATTGCCAAAACTTGGAAGCAACAAGATGTCCTTCAGTAGGTGAGTAGATATGCTGGGGTATATCCTGGCAGAACAGTATTCAGCGCTAAAAAAAGGAGCGATCCATGCTATGAACCGACACGTAGGGACCTTAAGTGCATTTTACTAAGTGAAAGAAGCCAATCTGAAAAAGTTAGCTACTGTAGGATTCCACCTACAAGACATTTTGGAAAAGGGGAGACTGTGGAGAAAGATCAGTGGTTGCCAGGGGTTACTGGGGAGGGAGGGATGAATAAGCAGAGAAGTTTTAGGGCAGCAATATTGGATGACAGGACACTGGTAGACCCATGTCAATGACCATGTGTCACAACAAGAGAATGTACAACACCAAGAGTCAGCCCTAATGTAAATAAAGAACTTTGAGTGATTATGATGTGTCAGTGTGGGATCATCAACTGCAACAAATGCCCCACTAGGGTGGGGGATGTGGATAATCAGAGTCTGTGCATGTGCTGGGGAGACAGACTGTTCCACTCAGATCTGCTGTGTACCTAAAATCCCTCTTAAAAAAAATAAAGAAAACAAAACACCAAAGCCACCATAGAAAAGCTCATATTAACTTTTATTTAAGTATGTATATATAAAAGTTTAATCTCATAATTTTAAAGATACATAATTATATATTATGCTGTCCATCTAGTTTATCCATTGTCATGAATCCTTTTGGTCCCTGAACTTGCCTTTGCTTCCTCCCTTACAGCTCTGCGCAGAATACAGCTGCATCCACCGTCATGGGTAGTAATGAGATCCCAGTCTCAGTTCTTTGAGGATGATGAGGGGCATTCAGCACCATGAACATGTTGTTCGAACATAAATGAGAAAATAAAAACTATATGGTGATTTTCATGAGGTTTTTCACATAAAGTGTATTTCATATCCCTATAGATACCGCTACTAACGAGCCACACCTAAAGTACTTAGCTACAATTGAGTCCTCCATGGAATCATCAATATCCAGCTTCCAATTTCCACTCTTTAAAATACTTGTCCATTCTGCTCCTAGACTTCCAAGTGCCAACATTTACGGTAGGTATGATTTTCTGGGGTTTCAGCCACTGGACAAAGCGTTTCATTTCTAGGAAGCTGCTGTGCTCACTATAAGGAATTCCTGCAACATCAAAGAAGAGACATATTCTACTAAGAACCAAACTAATAAAAGAATTCAAAAGCATAAAAGAGAAAAACAATCCAAAGTATTTTTGTCAAAAACTCTTTAGTGCTTTAGAAAATACCATGTTGATATCTTTTATAAAGAAACCACATTGTTGACATCTTTTATAAAGTAAAATAACGTAAAATTTAGAAGTTTAAAACTATTACTTGGGGCTGGCACTGTGGCGTAGTGGGTAAAGCCGCCACCTGCAGTGCCAGCATCCCATATGGGTGCTGGTTCGAGTCCCGGCTGCTCCACTTCTGATCTAGCTCTCTGCTGTGGCCTGGGAAAGCAGTAGAAGATGGCCCAAGCCCTTGGACCCCTGCACCCACGTAAGAGACCTGGAAGAAGCTCCTGGCTCCTGGCTTCGGATTGGCTTAGCTCTGGCCGTTATGGCAACTGGGGAGTGAACCAGCAGATGGAAGACCTCTCTCTCTCTCTGCCTCTCCTTCTCTCTCTGTGTAACTCTGACTTTCAAGCAAAATAAATAAATCTTTAAAAAGAAACTATTACTTTTCTACATATATAGTTAGTAACATGCATTTTACAGAGCCTTGTTTAATTAGAATTTTCTTCTTTTAAAAAATTCTTTCTCTTAGACACTTCTCTCAGTAATGAAGTTCAGGAAAATCTAGAAGTAGGGGTAAAATGTGAAGAATAACAAGCAGAAGACTTAATTTTAAGCATGGGTAAGCAGATCCCAGTCCACAACCCTGGCGTATATAAAAAATAATAAAGAAGAAAAAGAAAACCAAATCCTAATAATCCCTTTGTATCTTTATTGAAAATTGGGTACCCAGAAAAAGGGAGGAAAGACCCTGCTTTGAGTAAACTGTGGTTTTCAGACGAGGCTGAGGGTGAGTCACCGGCAGCCATGCAGTAAACATTTTGCCACCAGCCACGTACTAACCCAACTCAGGGACGTGGTGAAGCTCTTCAGAGAGAAAAGCTTAGCTGGGTTTATACCTCTTGTTATCACCACATCGTGCCCTTCCTCTTCCAGCGCTCGGTATCTCAGCGTCATCTGGGCTTCTAGCACGAAACTACAGCACCCCTCCTTCCAAGAAATTCTTGAATTTCCTCTATCACTGATCACACAGATGGATGACCTGCACAGGTCAACATCCACCTACTGTCAATCCCTCTATGTCAGTTTACAATGGACAAGACAGGATTAGAGCTGCAGGGAGATGTTACTCTTGAGTGCCTATTTTCTTGAGTCTCAATTTTATAGCATTTCAGAAAGAATTTAAAGTCATTATAAACATTAAGCATGACAAATTTTAATCATTATACCATATATTGAAATATTTCCTTTGGTCTGGGGAATAACATCAGCCATAGTTGTTAGCTTGTCAGAATGAGTCCATCCCGTCGGTCGAAACGCCAAAATCTCATCATATTTCCCACCAAACTTCTTCAAATGACTCTGTAATCCCTGTGAAATGAAAATAACATATGATTTAATGGTCAACGGAGATAGGTTATGTGGAATAAAATGGAATGATTAACGATATTACGCTAGCACAGTCACAGGGAGTTTTTCACTTGTTAAACATTAGCTCGCAACAATCTCATGCCATACTTCTAAAGAAAAAGGATCACTAAAAAAAAATATAAAACTTTTTTTCTGCTTTACTTATTTGAAGTTGAATAAACTTTAGTCTGGAAAAAAAAAATGAGGTGACTTTAAACAACTAGTTATGTGTAAAAATTATAATGTAATTATGTAATATACACATACATAATAATATATAAAATACTTATTATATATGTAATTATGTATAAAATTATAAGTGATAGTTGCCAAAAATATTCTATCTCCAAAAGCTACTCTACAGAGATACTGACATTAACACTGGTAAACATCCATACAAACCTAACTCCATGAATATCCACCAACAAAAGACTGAGAGATGGCTAGAAAGACAGAAATAATTTTTATAAGAATGGTATTATACTCAGTAGAGGTATACATTTAAACAAAAGCATAATAGCATTCTCATGTGTTTACTCCTTTTCCACACAAAGATTACTTTTAAAACTCTTCATGCTACAACAATTGGAAGTAATACGCTCCCTTCATAAATCGTGAGTGCAACAGAACTTCCTCAAACTAAAATCATAATACACAACGACATTTGATAAAATTCTTAGAAAATAAATGACCAGAGTTCAATCTTTGAAAGACAAATGCTGAAGACAAAAACAACACAAGATCAGGCTGGCATTTTGGTGTAGTGTGTTATGCTGTCACCTGCCACAAAGGCATCCCATATTAGACTGCCACTTCAAGTCCTGGCTGCTCTGCCTTGGATCCAGTTTCCTCCAGTTAACGTGCCTGGGAAAACAGCAGAGGATGATCCAAGTACTTAGGCTCCAGCCACCTATGTGGGAGACCTAGATGGAGTCCCTGGCTGCTGGTTCCTGGCTTCAGCCTACCGCAGATTTGGCTGTTGTGGCCATTTTGGGAGTGAAAGATCTCTGTCTCTGTCTGTCTCCACCTCTCTCTGTTGCTCTGCTTTTCAAATAAATAAATAAGTAAATATTTTTAAAAAGAAATGTCACAGGAATATAAAGTAACTAATTTCTTTGGTCTTAAGATGAAAATCCAGTTTTAAAGGCTTTAACAATAAAATTCATTCCACTGATAAACTGATAAAAATCCTTTGGTTTCTTTCATATTATAGATAACATTTTATTTAATCTGAAGTGAAATAGAAGAATAGCTACCATAAAACAGGTTTTTTTATTTTTTGTTTTTGTTTTTGTTTTTACCAACTACCATGCCTACCAAAGAAAATTTAAATAACTAAGTTTCCATTATAACTTCTCTGGTACTGCAAATTTTAAAGTTTTTGCCTTGGTCACTCTAGGACCTCACTAATGTAATGTTATTTGTTTAGTTATTTGCTTAATTGCTATTGTTCCTACTCTTGTCCTCACAAAGACAGGAAATAGTAAGAAACTGAGTTTTAGAGTAAGTATAATACTAAAACTGAGAATCAAAATGTCAGCATGTCACCATACCTGTTTGTCTCTGCAAAAACATAGAATTAAAGGAGAACAAATTTTTGCCTTTTCTGAGGAAAAGTTACCACAAAAACATCATGTGGCACAGGCTGGTATCATAAAAATTTAGGATGCTATCACATAAACCAGGCCTGCATAAAAGACTGTCAACAGTCACCAGTAATCCATAAATCATAATTTGAGAACTACCTTCCTGAGGAAATTTATTAAGAATGGTTTAGGAGACAGTTACAAGATGGCAGAGTAGGGAGGGAGCTTACTGCTCTAGTCTAAGAGAAGATAGTTTAAAAAAAGTGCAGAGGGGCTGGCGCTGTGGCATAATGGGTAAAGCCACTGCCTGCAGTGCCGGCATCCCATGTGGATGCAAGTCCCGGCTGCTCCACTTCTGATCCAGCTCTCTGCTATGGCCTGGGAAAGCAGTGGAAGATGGCCCAAGTCCTTGGGCCCCTGAACCTCCATGGGAGACCTGGAAGAAGCTCTGGCTCCTGGCTTCAAATCTGCACAGCTCCAGCTGTTATAGCTAACTGGAGAATGAACCAGCAGATGGAATACCTCCCTCTCTCTGCCTCTCCTTCTCTCTCTGTGTAACTCTGACTTTCAAATAAATAAATAAATCTTAAAAAAAAAAAAAGTGCAGAGAAAAGTACAATCTCAGAGAAGAGTTAGGGAGAAAACAGCGGAGGGAACTCTATGCAAATTAGAGGGACACAGTGAACCTACATGGAGGGCACAGATGCCCACAACTCAGGACCCCAGCAGCCACGACCCTCCCCACCAGCATTGAAGTGTGAGGTGAGACCAGACTGCAGCAGCCCAAGCCACTGGCAATAAAGCTGCAGGAAGAGCCTAGAGGGAACCCAGCTTGGAGCCCCATGGGGTATAGCGTATCTGCCAAACTTGAGGAGGAAAAAGGAAAGGAGGAACACATTTCTTTCTCCCCGATCACCTTACAACGGTGTCCTGTAACAAGCCGAAAGAGCAGTCGCCATTTTGGACACACCTAACAGCTGAGCCAGCTCATTTCTGCACGCAGCAACCAGCAAGTGGAGATTCCTCACTCTGATGGGGAGAACTAACAGGGAGCTGAGTGCTTATGACTGTGGGAGGCCTGTGTGCCGGGACTGTGAAAAAAACTGAGGCTGTGTGGGAGGACTCACAGTGTGGCTGGGACTGTGGGCAGTCACTGTGGGGGAGTTCACACGCTCAGGGCATCCTGGTTACCTGGTGAGGGACACTGCTGGGGAATCTGAGCTCACCCTGAGGACTGCACAGATCCTTTGTGTGGTCCTTGGGGTAGAGCAGACGAATATTATATGCACTGGGGCTAGCACTCAGGCATAGGTCTCCTTTGAGGAAAGGAGCTCAGCTGAGCAGAAAAAACCTCCCTTCTGATTAAAAAAAAAAAAAAAAAAAAAAAAAGATTTACCATGTCAAACCTGGGTGTGTCACCTTAGACATGCCCTGAACCCAGGAGAACTGAACAAAACTCCCTGGCCACACCCACCACACACCTCCAGATACTCACTGAAAGCAGAAACTCCACTTATCTACAGAGGTAGAGTACAAAGACAAAAGCCACCACAGCGGAAAAGGCAAAGAAGAAACCAATGAGTATTTCCACAAATGCCGAATAACAAACACACCAATTCAAGAAACAAGAATAAGGAAGACAACATGACACCCCCAAAGGATCACATACTTTAATACTAGATTATGAAGATGATGAAATTGAAGAAATGCCAGAAATGGAATTCAAAAAGTTGATCATAGGATTACATAGAAGTAATCAGAAGCACAAATGTACAAACTACTGAAATTCGTACATGCCATGAAAGAAAATTTCTCCCATGAAAATGAGATCTTAAAGAGAAATCAAAATGAAATGAAGAATTCAATAGAACAAATACAAAATGCAGTGGAAAGCCTTAACAGTATCAGTAAAGCAGAAGAAAGAATATCTGACTTAGAAGACAAAGCACAGGAAATTATACAGTCAGACCAAAAACAAGAAGAGGAAATTAGAAAACTAAAAAACACTGTTGAGAATCTACAGGATACTACCAAGCAACCCATCATACAGGTTCTAGGTGTTCCTGAAGGCATGGAAAAAGAGAAAGGATTAGAAGACCTTTTTAGTGAAATAATAACAGAAAACTTCCCTAATTTGGAGAAAGAAAGGGACATCCAAGTACAAGAAGCACATAGACCCCCGAATAGACATGACCAGAAAAGATCTTAACTACAACACATCACAATTAAACTCACCACAGTAAAACATAAAGAAAAAATTCTAAAATGTGCATGAGCGAAACACCAGATTACTTTCAGAGGATCTCCAATTAGACTCACAGCGGACTTCTCATCAGAAACCCTACAGGCTGGGAGAGAATGGTGAGATAAAGTCCAAGTCTTAAGAGAAAGAACTGTCAATCCAGAATACTTTACCTTGTAAAGCTCTCATTTATGAATGAAGGTGAAATAAAGACCTTCCATAACAAACAGAAATTGAAAGACTTTGCCATCACCCGTCTGGCCCTACAAAAGATGCCTAAGGATGTGCTGCAAACAGAAACACAGAAACATGGGCATCACTATGAAAGAAGGTGAAGAAAGAAAATCTCCCAGTGAAAGTTCAAAGGAAATTCAAAGTAAAACATAGGAATATTTTTGGAAAAAAGACAGGGCAAAGTTGTTACTTATTAATAGACACCTTGAATGTAAATGGCCTCCAGTTAAAAGACACAGACTAGCTGAATAGATTAAAAACAACACCCATCTATTTGCTGCCTACAAGAAACACATCTCACCAACAAAGATGCATGCAGACTGAAAGGATAGAAAAAGATGTTCCATGCCAACAGAAACCAAAAAAGATCTAGTGTAGCCACCCTAATTTCAGAGAAGATAGACTTTAATAAAAAAACTTGCTAAAAGAGACAAAGAGGGGTACTATGTAATGATTAAGGGATCAATTCAACAGGAAGATATAACTATTATAAACATATATGTACCTAATTACAGGGCACCTGGCTATTTAAAAGAAATGTTAAAGGATCTAACAGGAGAGATAGACTCAAATACAATAGTAAAGGGGGACTTCAATACCCCACTTTAAGCAATGGATAGATCAATCAGACAGAAAATCAGTAAGGAAGCAGCAGATTTAATCAACACTATAGAACAAATGGATCTAACAGATATCTACAGAACTTTTCATCCTACAGTTGCAAAATAAACATTCTTCTTGGGAGTACACAGAACTTTCTCTAGGGTTGACCACATACTGGGCCATAAAGCAAGTCTTAGGAAATTCAAAAAAATTGAAATCACACCACACATCTTCTCTGAACACAATGCAATGAAGCTGGAAATCAGCAACTCAGGAAACTCTAGAACACACGCAAACACATGGAGATTGAACAACATGTTCCTGAATGAACAGTGGGTCATAGAAGAAATCAAAAGAGTAATCAAAAAACTTCTAGAAACAAATGGAGACAACAATACAACATATCAAAACTTATGGGATTCAGCAGAAGCAGTGTTAAGAGGAAAGTTTGTAGCAATTGGTGCCTTCATCAAGAAATTGGAAAGGCATGAAATAAATGACCTATCAATACATCTCAAGGATCTAGAAAAACAGCAAACCAAACCCAAAACTAGTAGGAGAAAAATAATTAAAATTAGAGAAAAAATATCAATAGCCTTTGTATAAACAGACAACGCCAAGGCTGAGATTGAACTTCTAAGATCAATCCCATTCACAACAGCTACAATAAAAACAAATACCTTGGAATAAATTTAACCAAGAATGTAAAAGATTTCTACAATGAGAATTACAAAATATTAAAGAAAGAAAAAGAAGAAGAGACAAAAAAGATGGAAAAATCTTCTATGTTCATGGATTGGAAAAATCAACATCATCAATATGTCCATTCTTCCAAAAGCAATTTACAGATTCAATGGGGATACCAATCAAAACACTGACGACATTCTTCTCAGATCTAGAAAAAATGATGCTGGTGAACCAGACAGCAGGAATGGTACTACTGACAGTGTTTCATGGGTTTTCAAGCATGCCTTGCACATCCTGTAAACTGGTTTTAAGTTTACCTCTTCACAAAAAGTCATCACCTCTGTTGCAACAAAACAATTCTGGCTGGCACAAAATTGGCTATAATTACTAACTAAAATATAGCATGGTAACGATCAACTTCTGGCCTGTGTTTTGAGAATACAGGATCTTTTTAAAATGTTACCATGACATGGTCAATTTAATGGAGGAAGGGGCAGAACTACTGAAGGCAATTCCAGGAAATATCTGTCCCAGAATTACATCAGGTGCTACTGTCAGAAGGGGAGAGGGGATACAGTCTCCACCTTCTGGAAGCTTACAGTAAATAAATCTCCACTTAGAGGGCAATAAACCCCCAGCTTCTGGGTCTTTTTTTTAATAGAAACCACCTACTTTTAATAAATTATTTATTTATTTGAAAGGCAGAATGACACATACACACACACACACACACACACACAGAGTAAGACAGCAATCTTCTGTCTGCTGATTTATTCTCCAAATGGCCACAACAGCCCAGACTGGGCCAGGCTGAAGCCAGGAGCCAGGAACTTCAACCAGGTCTCCCACACGGGTGGCAGGAACTTAAAACTTGAGCCATCACCCACTGCTTCCACTCTGATATGGGATGTGGGAGTTCCAAGCAGCAGCTTAACTCATTGCACCATAACGCCCACCTCCAACTGCTATTTCTTAACTTGTTCTAACTCTTGTTATCTATGACACCATCAGCTCATAGGGGCCTTCAGGGTTATCTTTTCACAAAGGACTCATTTTTTAGTATAAAATCCTAGAAGTGATAAATGCAGATGTAATGAGTATTGAAAATATACTCGAGGAAGGTATTTGGCAGAGTGGCTAAAATGTTGCTTGGGACACCCATATCCTACATCAGAGCGCCTAGGTTCTAGTCCTGGCTCAACTCAGAGTCCAGTGTCCTGCTGATGCAGACTCTGTGAGGCAGTGGCAATGGACCAAGTGATGGGTAACTGCCACCCACACAGATGACCTGGATTAAATTCCCAGCTCCTTGCCAGCATCTGGGGGAGTGAATCAGCTATTGGGAATTCTCTCGCTCTCAAGATAACAACAAAAAATTTAATAGGCTTAATAACTCCAGATCACTCCCTTTTCAAGGACATAAGCCTTAAAGAAATTCAAACATTTTATTCACTAAAAGCAATCTGAATTTATAGCTATCTAGAAATTTTAATTTTCGTTAAGTTTGAATTTGTAAATATATGATCTTTAAAAGGCCTCGGGTAGCAGAAACCAGTCTGCAAAGCTGCAGGCGGTGAGGGAACTGATTCCCGTGCCAGGCTGATGAGTCAGTTTCCCTGCCTGCACTTCAGATCTTGCTCAGAAACATTACTAGATCAACTTTACCTCATCTAATTTCTCCTTACCTCTCAAGATAAAAATCTTCACCCCTATGACTACAGCAGCTCCCTTTCTGCACCTCCCTCTGCCATCAGCATATCTGGATCTGCTTCTTGGCCAAGCTCTGCTTCCTGTCTCCACTTCTCACTTCCTATTCACTCTTCTCCTTTCTGTTCTGCAAAGCAGAAAACTCACTCTTTTTTATTCAACTTCATAATTTAAAAGTTTTTAGTATATTCGCAAAGTTGAGGTAACACCACACTAATTCTGGAACATTTACACTGCTACTAAAAGAAACCCTACACCTACTGGCATTCACTCCCTAGGACTCTTCTTTAGGAGCTGGCAACCACTCGTCTATTTTCTATCTTTACGGAGTTCAGCATTCTGGACATTTCAGACAAATGAAATCATAAAATATGTAGCCTTTTGTACCTGGCTTCTTCCACCTGGCATGATGACCTCAAGGTCCACTCACAGTGTCTAAACCATATTTCATTTAATAGAGAGAAGAGATTTTATTTATTCATTGATAATTTGATGAGCATTTGGATTATTTCTATCTTCTGGCTATTTTAGATAATACTGCTATGGATTTTTCCTGTAGAAGTTTTTGTGTGCACCTATATTTTCAGTTCTCTTGGGTCTACAGGACTAGAATGGCTGGGTCACAGGGTCACTCCACATTCAACTTTAAGGAATTACTAGGCTGTTTTCTAAAGCAGCTGTACCATTTTTCAGCCTCACCAGCCAAGAATGAGGCTCCCAGTTTCTCCATATGCTCACGGATTGTTGCTGTCTGTCTTTATTGTAGCCATTCTGTGGTGACTTCTGGCTAACCACATCTTACTGGCTTTGGATTACAGTTTCCTGATAGCTAACAACTCTGAGTCTCTTCACATGCTTATTGGCCATTTGAGCATCTTCCTTGGTGAACTAGCTTTTCGTTCATTCCCCAAGTCTTTGCCCTGTAACATCACTTCACTCAGTGTTGGTGTGGGTCATCAAAGAAGTTCTAATTGTCATTCTCTTCTTATTTGATCTCTCTGGAGCGTATAGTACTTCTGGACACTCTTTCTTGAAAGTTCTTTATGCCTCTCATTTATATAATACCCTGACTCCTCCACCCCAATAACTTGTTCAGCTGGAATAAACGAAGTTAGTGGGAAATAAAACCGCAAACTAAAAATAATAAAAGAAGGTATACCCTCCTCTGGATAGCAGTTTTCATTGTTAGGATTAACTGGCGTCTCATTAGTCTCCAGAGAAATTGGATGCCTCTCAAATTTAAAATAGATTTGCAAAGCTAGCTTAAACAACAATGGACAAAATTATACCTTGGTTATTCCTAAAATTTTTATGAATTACATACTCATGAAAATAAGCCACAAAAATGTTACCTTAATCTCACAAACAAAGGAGCAGTTATACCACAGAGAATTTCCTTACTCAAGGGAAAGACTTAAAACATTAATTGTCTTTATACAACGTGGATTATTATTTATAAGACAGACACAGGAGTCAGCATCCTGAATTATTTCAAAAAATTCAATATAAATTATATCATGAACACATAGCAAATATATCCCTTGGAATGAATACTAGAACTTTTTCTCAGGATACACTTTCACTATTTTATTTAATTCTCTCAGTTTTCAATATGTCAATGTTTTAGAAACGCTAACACAGAACAGAATAGACCTGAAGAAAAGTAAGACCTCCAGAGAGTCTTCTACTCATTTCCCCATTCACCTAGAAAGAACTGGAAAACTGTCTTAAAGCCACGAGGTTTCAATGACCAGACAGGTACATTCTTTTCTATTTTTGCTCCTTTCTATACAGAAACACTAGTTCTCTAGTTCTTAAATTCCTGGTGGGCACAAAAATCACACTATGCCATTGCACATACAGACAAACTAAAAGCACTTACAATTCCCTTTAAAAGATTTTTTAGGGAAAATTTTACTATAGGTGTAACTCTACTGTAATTGTGTTCCTCTAAGGTAAATGAATGTAAAATGGGACTGCAGTTTACAATTATTTGGGCTCAGAAAACAATACCCCAAAATACCGCACCTTGGTATGCTGATTGTTTTAAATTAAAGACCTCAGGAGAGGAGCAGATGCTGGAAAAGACTTCACTGTGGTGCTGCTTTATCTACTTAAAGACCAAACCCACCAAAGAATTACCTTTGGTCCGTTCAGAGCTTTCGCTAGCTAAACTCATTCTGCAGGAAGGAAGATTAAAGAATATAACCACAATTGGATTTTGTCACAAGCTATTCTCTGTCCCCAGGTCCATTCAATTCCCAAACTGAATCATTCACTATTGTATGAGTATTCGGCCCATTTATCACCCAAAATCATGAACCTCACCTCAAAATTGTCACACTTCCCTTCCCCCTCTCCCCTGTGAGGAACAGTGTAAAGGCACGTGGTTCTCACTGGGTAACCACACTCCTGTGATCGTCCTCTGGGCAATTAATAAATCTGTATATCCTTTTCTGCTGTTAATTGCTACCGTCTGTTCATTTCTGTAAAACTTCAGAGTACACAATCATCACATTCTTTTCGAGTTTGTCTCAGAAGACACAGCGTTTGGATGCTTACCTTGAAGTTAATTTGCATCATTGGGAGAAGGTGAACCAATGAATTGCACATATCTGTAGTGATGAGGGAATTAATTTCCGGTATATTGAGGCACCGTAATGTTTTATATTTCTCTTGGGACATACCCACTTTTGAACCTAAAACGTCAGCAATGGCTGAGGGAAAGGAAAATGTTAAAAACAGTAAAATGACAGCTTGTGAAAAAATAATAAAACCACAACTGAGTTAATTTTTAAAATAAGAATTTACAAAATAAAAATAAATTCAAAACATTCACATTTTAATGATATATTAAAAAGGCCGAACAATTCTGTAGGTTGACTGGATAAAATAAATTGTGGGAAAGTCAAATAATTTATTTTTAAAGCCTTGTTACTTATTATTTGAAAACTTCAAAAGATATTTAGAAAGGGGTGGTGAAAGGGAAGAACTGATTTGGGAAACTTAAAATCCTGACACTTTCACTTCTTTCAGGTTGAGCATCCCTTATCCAGAATGCCTGGAGCAGCAGTGTTTCAAGTTTGAGTGTTTTAGATTTTGGAATATTTGCAAAGACTTTACCAGTTGAAATCTCTAGTTTGAAAATTCAAAATCCCAAATGCTCTGAAATCCAAAATACTCTGATTACCTAAACAACACTAAGTTTCAGGTTCTGGAACATTCTGGATTGCAGATTTTCAGATTACAGACGTTCAACTTGTATCTTAATGTTTAACACAATATGAAAACATTTAGGAAGAAAGGGAAAGCTTGTGAAAACACAGTATAACACTGCCCAGACAATCTGCAGTTACACCCCCAGAGGTCATTTACCAACAAAAATTAAAACTGTTGTTTAAAATAATTAAATGCTTATCCTCAAAGAATACAGCACTATAACTAACTATGCATTAACCATTTGTTAAAGTTTATTTAAAAATAATGGAACATGGATATTTGTGCTATAAACATCTTATAGATACAAAGGTTAAGATACACATGCTTACGATTTTCCCATTAAGTTAAGTCTTTCGAAGTTTACATGATTCAAACTTTTAAATTTTCCTTCAGCTTTAAAAGTAACATTGAATCATTTCAGGAAATAAATGCCAAGTGCAACCACAGAGACTGAAAGGGCTTTATGAAAAAAGAATCTGAACTGTATAATATATTAATGTAAATTAGATACAGCTATCACCCACCTAGGAAGACTTTCTCTTTTCCAATAGAATAGGTGCCACAGACAACGAGAGCACGTGGGTTCAGCGTTACAGCCTCAAAGGCAGTGTTGATGGCGAACTGGATAACCTCTTGCTGAGATGGAAAGGTATATTCTGGGCTGCAATACCTGAAATATGGAAACGTACTTATTAAAAGAACAACTAAAAAGCCATAGTCTTAAATTGGATCCTATTTTAGAAAAATAAGCTTTAGCAAGTCCCATACAATGGCGATATAATATGTTAAAACCATGACAGCTATCTTTTATCTTACTGCCTGAGGTTAAAATAGTTATTACCAGTTATTGCTAACTTGTGATGGAATTATAAGCTTTCATATAAATTTTTCATTTCATTAACCTCAATTTAAAAAACTGCAATCTGAAGACCTGTTTCTTCCAAGACTGTTTCTAGCCAGATAGCTATTTCAGTTATGAATTATAACCTCAGTCACTATCACAGAAAATATTGATAGCAATTATATTTGGACTAAAGAGTTCTGCTTTAGGAAGAATTAAACTATTGAAACTAAACATGAATTTAATAAAGTGGTTTTAGATCAAACAATTAATACATGGTTGATACAGTCTCTTCTTACAGATACAGGAATACAACATATCCAATAAGGTCTGACTTGACACACATAGTGAAAAATTAAGCCTAAACTACTATCTGTATACACTTGGAATGAAAAGTAAGCAGTTCTTCAATAAAAAAACTAGTAAACTGGGGCTGGTGCTGTGGCCCAGCAAGTTAAGCTGCCGTCTGCAGCACTGGCATCCCTTATGGGTGCGGATTCAAGTCTTGGATGCTCTACTTCCAATCCAGTTCCCTGCTAATGCACCTGGGAAAGCAGCAGAAGATGGTCCAAGTCCTTGGGCCCTTGCATCTACATGGGAGACCCGGAAGAAGATCCTAGCTGCTGGCTTTGGCCTGGTTCAGTCCCAGACATTGTGGCTATTTGGGGAGTGAACTGGTGGATGGAAAATCTGTTTCTCCTCTTTCTCTCTGTATCCCTGCCTTTCAAATAAATAAATAAATCTTAAAAAAAAGAAATAATAAACTACAAATACCAAAGAAACATTTTTCCCAATTTTGAAAATTGTTTTTGATAGTTAACCACCAGGAAAGAAGAAAAAACTTAGTCTTTTAACTTATAAAAATCCACAAAGAAATTCAGAATTGCATGTAGAAGAGTATCAAGTAGCAAGGTAGTTTTTTTTAACTTATTGTTACATAATTTACTACTTAAATTATATATAAAAGAACAGAAAAATTAGATATAGTGTGAGAAAACTAGATGTGGAAAAGCCAACCCACCAAAGCTACTTCTTGAAACAAGTTGAAATAGTTAATATAATTATCTCTAACAAATTGATAAGGTATTTTAATGTATATTATATATATAATTTAATGTAAATGCATACATCTTTTATCTGTCAATTATGACAATAAAGTCGCAAAGAAATATATATAACACTATAATATGATACCTTATGTCATAATATTGATAGTACTTCGGAATTCAAAGTTATTATTTACATATTACCTCTCTGAGAAAAGAACAAAATTAATTTTAAATACTGAGAATCAGAATCAAATTCTGGCCTCTGTTTTCTCTTCACAATTATATTTAATAGCTACACAGATAACTTTGAACAGTTAATCTAAATGGCTGCTTTCCTAAAGAAGGCTGTCCTTCAAATTCTTCTTCCTTATGTCAGTAATAAGATTCTTTTTTTTTTTTTTTGACAGGCAGAGTGGATAGTGAGAGAGAGAGACAGAGAGAAAGGTCTTCCTTTTGCCATTGGTTCACCCTCCAATGGCCGCCACGGCTGGCGCGCTGCGGCCAGCGCACCGCGCTGATCCGAAGGCAGGAGCCGGGTGCTTCTCCTTGTCTCCCATGGGGTGCAGGGCCCAAGCACCTGGGCCATCCTCCACTGCACTCCCTGGCCACAGCAGAGAGCTGGCCTGGAAGAGGGGCAACCGGGAAAGAATCTGGCGCCCCGACCGGGACTAGAACCCGGTGTGCCGGCGCCGCTAGGTGGAGGATTAGCCTATTGAGCCGTGGCACTGGCCAGTAATAAGATTCTTATATAAATGTACTTTCAAAAATAAATGGCAAAATAATTGAACTGTAGTCAATTAAGTCATATAATAACAAATTTTCCCTTAAGCAAGGATTTTTTAAAATAGCATCTTTCTGATAAATAGCCTTAAAGTAAAAAGAGGCGATAAGCCATCATTTAGATGACCCACACAAACACTCAAATTATTCATGAAATACACAGCCAGCGCTGTCCTAAGAAATGGAAGCCTCCAAAGGCTCTCTTACGTGGTGTCCAAGTACAGCACGTGGACTTTCTGGCCCGCAAGAAGAGAACGTTCCATGCTGGGGTTTGCCCGGAAGTCTCCAGTGTGCAACATGACAGTACCATTAGGAAGATGAAAAAGGATCATGGCGGCACCTGGACAGCTGGACACAAACAGTTTTTTAAAGGAATATTCTTAACACAGAGCACTTAAATCAACAAGTTAGCACACTTTGTCAGGTGACCATCGCAACACAGCATTGAACTACAGACAAAATATAATACTTTGAGGAAATTTACACTTAGCAAGTCTGGGTTGCTCAAACTAATATGTTCGCAAGAAAGCCTGCTTTCAGGACTAGCACTTGGCTGGCTCCTGGGAAATTGGAATTCCAAGCTAAGCCCCCGGAATACAAACACTGTGCCTGAGAAGTGTTTTGTATGCTTGAGGCGTGGCTCTGTGGTACTAACTTGATCAAATAGGTTATGCTAACTACCTGATCTATACTGAATTCCTCAATCAAGTTGACTTAAAGAAATCAGAACTCAGGGAAGGCATTCGGCCCGTCAGTTATGACCACATCCTGTGTAGAAATACCTGGGTTTGACATTGGCTCTGGCTCCTGACTCCAGCTTTGTGCTAATATAGACCCTGGGGAGCAGCAGGTGATGGCTCACATGATCGGGTTCCTACAACCCAAAGGGAGACTTGAACTGAGTTCCTAGTTCCCAGCTGTGGCCTCTAGTCTGGCCCCTGGCTCTTGTGGGCATTTGCAGGAGTAAACAAGTTGATGGAAGATCTCTGTTTCTTGGTCTCTCAAATTAATAAAACATTAATCAGCACTCAAGTTGAGAGGTAAGAAAAAAAAATAGCACGCAAAAACTTAAAGGCAACCTAAATAGCATTGGTCTGGATTTTAGGAAACCTAGATTTAGTCTCACATTTTTCTTTAAACATCTGCAATCTCTTTGGTACAGGAGACTGACATTCTATGAAAACAGGGAGAAGCACAGTTGACAACTGCATTTTGGCGTCATTGAGTACTTACATTAAAAAAAAAAAAAAAGGAACCCATTTCTGTAAACATAATGAATACATCTTCCTTTCCCTTTCACATTCTAATTAACAAAAAGCTAACTGCTCATCTTGTGACTAATTAAAATGTCTGTTCAGTTCAATAAACAAACAGTGCTTGCCTGAGAATTCCAGAAAGCAGCCTTGAGTGAGGCAGCTGAAGCTGCAGTGATCTGGCTCACTCCAGCCAGCATGGCCGGAGGACTAGATCTGTGCCTGCAAGCTCAAGTACCCGCTGTGACCCTACCCAGCCCCTTCTCGCCTGGCTGGAGCCCCGCATGCAGCCAGCCCTATCCCTTGCTTCCCTTGGTTCTGACTCTCCCTTTACTGCCCCTTTCTGCTCCCTTCAAAAGTCCTCCCGTGGGGCTGGCGCTGTAGTGTAGCAGGTAAAGCCGCCACCTGCAGTGCTGGCATCCCATATGGTCGCCAGTTCGAGTCCTGGCTGCTCCACTTCCAATCCAGCTCTCTGCTATGGCCTGGCAAAGCAGTAGAAGATGGCCCAAGTCCCTGGGCCCCTGCACTCATATGGGAGACCAGGAAGAAGCTCCTGGTTCCTGGCTTCGGATCGGCGTAGCTCCGGCCGTTGCAGCCTTCTGGGGAGTGAACCAGTGGATGGAAGACCTCTCTCTCTCTCTGCCTCTCCTTCTCTCTGTATAACTCTGACTTTCAAATAAATAAATCTTAAAAGAAAAAAAAAAGTCCTCCCGCTAATTTACAAACTGGGAAAAGCCCTTTTGAGACTGAAGTTCTCTGCTTCTCTCCCAAATGCTAGCCTCAACTCTGATCTCTGGTGAATTGGTTGTTCAGCCTGAGCAGCCCAAGCCCAGTTTTAACAGTATCATATGCAAGAAAAAAAAAAAATCTCCCAGATCTTAAATAGCTAAAGCCTGAACGATTTCTTGGTTTGATTGTGTGTGTGTTTGTGTGAGTGTGTGTGTGCACAAGAATGCGCGCGAGCAATTCTCGGAATTAAATGGAATACAAGCTGTTAACGTATATAAATAAAATACCAAATGGTGATCTTGTGAAGATTAGCAGCAATATGCTAAAGTGTTTTTAAAGTAATAAGATCGAATATCATACATCAAATGTAGCAATTTAAACTGGATAAAAATGGGTTAGATAACATTAAGAAGCTATCTAGATTTAATTTCTGATTCTACATTTGGGAACTTTATTTTTTAAAGATTTATTTATTATTTGAGAAGCAGAGTTACAAAGAGAGAGAGAGAGAGAGGTCTTCCATCCTCTGGTTCACTCCCAAAATGGCCACATGGCCAGAGCTGGAACAATCTGAAGCCAGGAGCATCTTCCAGGTTTCTCATGTGGGTGCAGGGGCCTACTGCTTTGCCAGGCCATGGCAGGGAGCTGGATCAGAAGTGGAGCAGCCAGGACTCGAACTGGAGCCTATATGGAATGCTGGCTCTGCAGGCAGAAGCTTAACCTACTATGCCACAGCGCAGGCTGAGAACTTTTTTTTCAAAAATAGAAATGTTTTACTCAAGTTGTAAGAAATATCAAACATGTTAATTTTAATCAAAAAGTTGTTACATAACCATGCCAGTGTGTTTTCCTTGTGAACATTTAAAGAATGAGCTACTATTAAGATAACTTTTAATACTTACTGATTGGCATCAAGCAAAACAACTTTCACACCATTCACTACACATTCAGTGTCCATTGGCAACGTATGGATATATTGTTCTTGCACATGAAGCTTGTTTTTCAACAAATTGCCAGTTATCTGCAAAACAGGATATGCTTATTGCTGATATAAACACTTTTATTTCATATCTAATTTAGAACTACAGTATCTTAATAATCTCCCTGTTTTTCCACTTAGATTCACATAAACCCGCCACCACGCCAGAACAACTTCTTACTTCAATCATGTCACCCCCTTGCTTGAACAGTCACTGGCTCTCCCTCACCTGGAGAAAGTCCATCATTCCCAGCACGTGGTACAAAACCCCTGCTCATTCCTGTGGGTTTCTCTCTTGCCACTCCCTGTCTCCAGTTCTCACCATTCTGAATTATCTGAAATGCCTAGAAAGGCTTGTTAACCATTCTTCACATAAACTCTACTCTCACCTGTAACGCTCTCTCCTCCTTCCTCTGCTGGATTTCGAGTCAGAGGGATCTGCATTCAAACTCAGGCTCTGCCACTTGTTATGACTTGGCAGATGTCACTTAACGTCTCCAAACCTCAGATGCCTCACTAATAAAAACAAGACACTTCTGGAGCACCGTGAGGATTAAAACAAATTCTAGCTAAAGTCCTGAGTTCCAGAGGTTAAAATGTGTACCTCTGAATAATCAGTTCAAAGTATCTCTTCCCCTATAAAACTTCTCCTAACCTTAGCCTGGAGGAGAGGAACGCGCTCCCTTCTCTCTGTTCCCAGGCACTCTATTCATTCTCTACTGAAACTTCAATCCTGGTATGCTTTTATTTGTGAGTCTTTCTCTTGGGGGCTTCAAGCTCTTAGAAGTCAGGCATTTTGCCATGTGTATCTATTTAGCACTCAAAGAATGTCTACAGAATGCATTTGAGGTTTGTTTTTTGTTTTTGTTTTTGTTTTTGTTTTTTTGTATACCAATTTTTTCCTTGAAATAAAACATGTTCATTTATTTATTTTTTTTTTTTTATTTTTTTTTTTTTTTTTGACAGGCAGAGTGGACAGTGAGAGAGAGAGACAGAGAGAAAGGTCTTCCTTTGCCGTTGGTTCACCCTCCAATGGCCGCCGCGCCAGCGCGCTGCGGCCGGCGCACCGCCGCTGATCCGATGCAGGAGCAAGGAGCCAGGGGCTTTTCCTGGTCTCCCATGGGGGGAGGGGCAAGGACTGGGGCATTCCTCCACGGGACTCCCTGGCCACAGCAGAGGGCTGGCCTGGAAGAGGGGCAACCGGGACAGAATCCGGCGCCCCGACCGGGACTAGAACCCGGTTTGCCGGCGCCGCTAGGGAGGAATTAGCCTAGTGAGCCGCGCGGGCCTAAAACATGTTTCTTAAAAACTGACATCAACTCATTTTAGAACCTCAGTGTGGAATCTCCTATCTTTTCTAGTAGAATGACAGATCTTACAGTTTTTGTTTCCTTTTAAGCAAATTGCTTACAAATCTGCCCTGATGTACAAAGTCCTTATTTAGAACACTAAAACTTACCTCAGTGCAATAAACTGGAAATGTGGAGTTTTTAGACAACCCCGCATAATGATCAGAATGAAAATGTGTGAGAAAATAGGCGGAGCAGCCTTCAATCATGCCATACTGAAAGGCATCCACCGTGAAGCCAGTTCCTGCGACAGACAGCAACAGAGCAGGTTGAGTGAGCACCAACAAGGTATCAATTTGATCATAATGAGCCCTCTATCACCTTTATATCTCATTTCCAATTTAACGCTAATGTATTTAAAAATGCATCACACATAAATTTAGCAAAAAGTTATACCAGAAATGGGAACAAGTCATATTTCTACTAAATAACCCCAGAGATTTTTGTGTTTGTAAATAACTGCACTCTCCCCCACCCAAAAAAAAAAAAAATCAAAATCCTAATGCTACAAATCAATTGCTTGTTTAGTTAATACCTTCATGACACACGCCAGGCAGCTAAAATTCTTTATTTATGCAAAACAGCAAAAAGGCTAACTTTCTTCTAAAACATGAATTCCCAATGGGGACACCATGCATATGCTTTTATGTGGGCAAAAAGTGGTTGAGGACCAAAAGAACCTTAAATATTATAAAAGTCTCTGGTCCTCCAAAAGCCACAGAATAATAAAAGATACCTATGGTCTTTGAATTTCATGGCAGTGTGGAAGTAGGTATGGGTATGGGGCTGGGGACAAGAGAAAACTTCTGTGGCATCCCACTAAAGGAGCAATAATGAAAAAAAGGCCAATAAATTCTATTCTAAAATGCGCCCAGGAAATAGGGGTGCTGACTGCTGGTAAGCAGAATTTCACAGGTCTACTGAGGTTATCAACACATGGCATATTAGTTTTAGGCTCATTTAAAGTATAGAAAATTAATCAAGGGACTGGCAATGTGGTGTAACAAGTTAAGCCAATGCCTACAATGACAGCACCCCATATGAGTGCTGATTTGAATCTCAGCAGTTCCACTTCTGATCCAGCTCCCTGCTAATGCACCTGGGAAAGCAGAAAAGATGGCTCAGGGCCAGATGGCTCACTAGGCTAATTCTCCACCTGTGGCGCCGGCACCCTGGTTTCTAGTCCCGGTTGGGGTGCCGGATTCTGTCCCGGTTGCTCCTCTTCCCATGTAGCTCTCTGCTGTGGCCCGGGAGTGCAGTGGAGGATGGCCCAAGTCCTTGGGTCCTGCACCCGCATGGGAGACCAGGAAGAAGTACCTGGCTCCTGGCTTCGGACTGGCGCAGCGCACCGGCCATTTGGGGGTGAACCAAATGGCCTCTGTCTCTCTGTCTAACTCTGCCTGAGAAAGACAGAAAGACAGAAAGACAGAAAGAAAGAGATGGCTCAGGTGCTTGGGCCCCTCTACCCATGTGGGAGAACTGGATGGAGTTCCAGGTTCCTGGCTTTGGCCTAGTCCAACCCTGGCCATTACAGCCCTTTGGGGAGCAACGCAGTGGATAGAAGCTCTCTCTCCTTCTCTAATTCTGCCTTTCAAATGAGTAGATTTTTTTCTTTAAATGAAAAAAATAGAAATAATTATTAAAAACAAAACTGATGTAATGACATATAAATGCTACTGTCTACACAAAAAATCTGAACAAAGTATAGATCTAGAACATTAATAAAACATTTTTTCAAAATCTTTCTGAAACCAAGTATATTTTTGCTCTATATTTTTTCAGAAGTTACTGAATTTTTCAAAATTCAATTCAATTCATGACACATTTTTCTACCAACTCATCTGTGTAGGCGTAAGAAATTATAATCTTCTGAAAATACAAAAACCAAGTTCTAATATGATTTAAAATGTTTGGAATTTATATGTACACATATATCTGCACATATACATAAATAAATACACATATTTCTCTCTTTGAAGATATGAGTATTTGGTACTTTCTCACAAGAGCTTAGACACTGCCTTTTTCTTTTTTAAATAGCTAGAGATGCCTCCCCTTCTTCTGCATGCAACTGAATCCCTACTGCTTTCCTACTAATCTTTCTATAATCTGTAATATCTTCCTACCTAGTATGGTAACTTGTACACAGAATATGTTTAATAAAAATTTCATGAATTGAATGGAGCAAAAAAATTCAACCAAAAAAAAAAAAAACACTAAAAAACCTAGAGCATGCTTCAAAAAGTTTGTAGGAGATGGAGTTAAAAGGTAAGTTTAGCATTGTGGCTTAGCAGGTAAAGCTGGTGCTTCAGACTCTGGCACCCACAATGGACACCGGTTCCTTTCCTGGCTGCTAGTGGCCTGGGAAGGGCAACAGAGGATGGGTCAAGTGTTTAAGTCCCTGTCACTCATGCAGGAGACCCGGATGAAGCTCCTAGCTTTGGGCTGGCTCAGCCCCTACCATTGCAGCCATTTGAGGAGTGAACTAACAGATGGAGGATCTCTGTCTCTCATCCCTCTCTCTCTGTAAATCTTTCAAAATAAATACTTTTTTTTTTTTTTAAATTAGTTTTGGCCAGCGCCGAGGCTCAATAGGCTAATCCTCCACCTGTGGCACCAGCACACCGGGTTCTAGTCCCGGTTGCCCCTCTTCCAGTCCAGCTCTCTGCTGTGGCCCGGGAGTGCAGTGGAGGATGGCCCAAGTGCTTGGGCCCTGCACCTGCATGGGAGACTGGGAGAGGCACCTGGCTCCTGGCTTCGGATCAGTGCAGTGCGCCCGCTGCAGCGGCCATTGGAGGGTGAATCAACGGTAAAGGAAGACCTTTCTCTCTGTCTCTCTCACTGTCCACTCTGCCTGTCAAAAAAAAAAAAATTAGTTTGGTGTAAAAAAATTTTGACATCTGGGCCAGCGCTGTGGCTTAGCAGGTAAAGCTGCTGCCGGCATCCCACATGGGCATCGATACAAGTCCCAGCTGCTCCACTTCTGATCCAGCTCCCTGCTCTGGCCTGGGAAATCAGTAGAAGATAACCCAAGTCCTTGGGCCCCTGCACCCACATGGGAGACCTGGAAGAAGCTCCTTGTTCCTGGCTTCGGAGTGGCGCAGCTCCGGCTGCTGCGGCCAATTGGGGAGTGAACCAGTGGATAGAAGACTCTCTCTCTCTCTCTTTCTGCCTCTCCTTCTCTCTCTGTGTAACTCTTTCAAGTAAAATAAATAAATCTTTAAAAAAAAATACATACGATACAAATTGTGTCATACACACCAGGATCAATGACCATAATGTTAAAAAGTTGTCTTTTGTTACACTGAGCAGATAGTTCAACTTACCAGGTATTTTCTTATAGAATGGGCAAGTCCTTTTTCTTAATTCTCTTGCATCAGATGACTCTGAGATTTTTGAGTTTCTTCTTTGTAGCCCACCATAAGCAGATCTTACGAAGACTTGGTCTTCACTTAAATCGACTGTTCTGGATAGTGGATTACTAGCAAGGTGATCTGACCTCTTCTGATGTACTTCTTCTTCCTGTAGCGAATTTGACTTCTTATGTCGCTTTCTCTGACGCTGTGACCTCTCAATAGGAATCTCCACAGAGAGCTGACTCTCATTTACATTCTTTGCATCAAATTCTAAATCACTTAAAGATTTTTCTGCTTTCCTCTTGCACTGCCGGGACCTCTTTGCATTAGGACTTTGAGCTTGATTTAAGTCCACCCCTTCTAACGCACTTTTCGGCGATTTCTCTTCTTTTCTTTTGGGTGGTAGTCCAAAATACACACCTATATCCGTTTGCTTCATTACCTTAGTAGAAAGCTGTCTTGAATCACACTTAGGACCAGAGGGCAATATTTTCAAAGACTCGGTGGCAGGAGGTGTGCTAGGAATTCTTTCTCTATTTAAAACTGTGACTTTACCACCACCTGGCATATTGTCTAACGTCTTCCTGCAGGAACATGCTGAATTCGCATTGTTCTTAGCACTGAGGTTCTCACCCGATAACGCTCTCCTTTGACTTCGACTTGGATGCAAAGTGACTTCGCTCGTAAGTGCTGGAAGGGAAGCTTGATTGTGAACAGCTGACTCCTCAATCCGCTCTTTCTGTTTATCCCTTTGAGATGAGTGAAATTCTGGCTTATCGAGTTTTGTTTTAGGGGCCTGATAATTAGAGGCAGCAAACGCCTCTGTTAATGCAGGTGGAAACAGCAGAGAATAAGGATCATTACTTGCCGACTCATCATATGAAATAATACTCTCATTATTTTGGGGGATAAGCTGAGACAAATTATTTAGAGCACTGGACCTGTACAATTCTTCATTGTACTTGTCCTGGGTTAAGAAGCTATTTGCTTCGTGGACGCTGTCCTCTTGGTCCTGCAGTGAGGACCCATGGAGTTTTTCAAATGGAGTAGAGTTGCCATCGTCCTCTAGGCTGCCATCTTTAGAGCTCTCAGTGCAAAACAGATCCTGCTGTGAATCATCCAGCTTTTCATCCGTATCAGAAGTGTCTTCCTCACTCTGAAGTGGAGAATAGGAGATTTCACAGTTGCTAACGTCATTTTCTGGCAATGACAAGTTTATATGTTTTGAGTTGCTTTGGCTGCTCAACATCTCATCGGCAAGAGGCAAAGCAGCTCCTACCAATTCGTCTTTCTTAACTGCATCTGTAAATTGCAGCACTTGTTGGGACATTTGAGAATTTGTAGAAGAGATCTTTTTATCAGTTTCAGTAGGAGAATGAGATTTTTTTAGACATTCTGTCATTAACAAGGGGTCATTTGGAACATTTTTTAAGTTCCCAGTTTGTTTCTGATACAGAGAGCGTTTTTCCTCAAGAGAACAAAGCAAGCCTGAATTAGTCTCACTGAAGCTACCACCTGACTCACACGCTGGGCTGCTGGGTGGACTATTACCAGCCCTACTCTGGGCAAGCAGGAGGTGAGTGTATCTCTTGTAATGGGAAGGAATGGTTGAGGTACACAGAAGACCATCAGGACACTCTGTAAATTTTAAAACAGAAAAAGTATAGTATAAGCTTTGACAACATCAGCACTATAAATTAGCCTACAGGTAGAAAACCACACGTCCTACTTTGAGGCCTCATGACAATAGTTATTTTTAACTGCACGATCAAGATCATCATCAAATACCAACACTTGTCGAGGGAGACGGACCAGCAGCATTTGGCACAGCTGTCATGATGCCACTGGGGATGACCACGTTCCATGCTGGAATGCCTGGGTTTGAGTCCCTGGCTGTGGTGGGCATTTCAGGTGGTGGGGGAGGGGGGGCTGAACCAGAGACCTCTCTTTCAAATAAGTTTTAAAAAACATACCAACCCTTGATCTAACCTGGTTTTGCAAGAGATACTTATTTTAAAATCAAACACCTGGGTGCCGGCACTGTGGCATAGGCTAAGCCTCTGCCTGTGGCACCGGCATCCCACATGGGTGCCAGTTCATATCCTGGCTACTCCATTTTGGATCCAGCTCTCTGCTATGGCCTGAGAAAGCAGAAGACGGCTCAAGTGCTTGGGCCCCTGCACCCATGTGGGAGACCCAGAAGTTCCTAGCTCCAGCCGTTGTGGCCATTTGGGGAGTGAGCAAGCGGATGGAAGACCTTTCTGTCTCTCTCTCTGTCTGAAACTCTACCTCTCAAATAAATAAGTAAATTTTTTTTTAAAAAAATCAAATACTCTTTTAGATTGTTTTTCAAATTTTTTACAAAATTGAGATGTTTAAAATATGCAAATTACAATCCAATCTCCACATATTCCAAGTAGGATACTTGTGAAATTCAACATTTATTATACATTGTTAAAGACAATGAAAACATATCAATGCATTTGCATTAGAATCTTAATCAACAGGCCGGCACCAAGGCTCACTAGGTTAATCCTCCGCCTGCGGTGCCAGCACCCAGGGTTCTAGTCCTGGTCAGGGCACCGGATTCTGTCCCGGTTGCCCCTCTTCCAGGCCAGCTCTCTGCTGTGGCCCAGGAGTGCAGTGGAGGATGGCCCAAGTGCTTGGGCCCTGCACCCCATGGGAGACCAGGAGAAGCACCTGGCTCCTGGCTTTGGCTCGGCACAGCGCACTGGTCGTAGAGGCCATTTGGGGGGCGAACCAACGGAGGGAAGACCTTTCTCTCTCTCTCTCACTGTCTAACTCTGCCTGTCCAAAAAAAAAAAAAAAAAAAAGAATCTTAATCAACTATGTTTCCTTCCTAACTTCTCTTCCTGCACAGTAGCATGATGATTACAACACAACCGTATTTAGAAACCAGACTACATTTGTAATTTTCTATATAATTCCACAAAAGTAAATAAACTGGGCAATTTACTTAACTTTAAGAATCCTCATCTACAAAATTAAAAAAACCACCTACCTTATTATGGTCATTGTCAGAGGAAAATACCTAACACAGTAAGAGTTCAATTAACCTTTATGAAAACAATTATGTTTATAAATTTTTATGAAATAATAAAATGCACTTAAACCGTCTCAGGTTTGCAACTTCACAATCATACCACTGACTGGTGCAGGGTCTCATCCTTTGGCTTGTTCACTGCTTGCCCTCTTCAGGTCACTGGATTGATGTGTCTGACCCAACGCAGACCTTTTAACCTACATGTGGAGACCCCTACTTTTTCTCTTGTATTACCTGTTTCAGAAACGGAAGGAGAATCCAAACATTCAAAAACATGCCACCGGGGGGTTTGGCCCAGCAGTGAAGAAAAAGGCATCTGGCAATTTGGACAGTGTCCACTGTAAACCGGCCGTGTCTTTGGGGACACTTGCTTGTTTGGGCGAGTCCTACAGCGCTTTCGTGGTGTGCCCTGTGTGTCTTGGGACTGCGGAATCCCATCTCCACAGTCTGAACCCTGGCTGGCTGCTATGCAAGTCTGACAGTCTGTCTCTCCAAGGTGCCTTTCATGGTCTTTCACCTTTGCTTTAGCTCCTTTGGTTCTTTTTTTGTTTCTGTTTGGTTTGGGCTGGTTTCTGCCATCTGCTGCTTGTTCACTGGATTTTGGAATATTTTCAGAGCAACCACTTGGATGTACTGGTTTTGGTTTTCTTTTAGATTTGTATTCCCAGATCTCTTCTTCCAAAGTTGCGTCTTCCAACATGGCAAAATGATTTTTATCATTAAAGAAGCACTAACCTTTAATACATAGAGTCCATTTCTTGTTGCCAAGTTTTTCAATGGAATTGTTTTGCGGATAAATAAACCAAGGCAACAAGGTATCCGCTAACTCCGTGGATATCTACAGCGCTGGGAATGAAAACACTGCCGTTCCATTTACACCACCATAGAATCACGGGAACCTATCCCAGGGGTAGCATCTGCGAGGTGGCCCACTGTGGCTCTATCTCATTCAGGCAGTCAGGCCTTTTCCAGGTATTGATTCAAAAGAATCAGCAAGACTTCGCAAGTTAAGCGCCAGGTTCAACAGGTTAATCCTAGGAGCTTTGGAAAACTGAGGAAGCAAAGGCCAGTTCTCTTTCGAGTGGACACCTGTCCAGCTGGCTTCGCAAGTGTTCCAAACACGAAACGGCTACTAGTCCCATCAGCCACACCGACATCAAAGAGGCCTGGTATTTGACAGCGTCAGTTTCCCGGCCCGGACCCTCCTTCTCTCCAGCAGCAAAGAGCAGACCCTGCACAGTGAACAGAGCGCAGGTGAAGCCGCGTCTGCTCGGGGAGGACTCCCCGGAGGAGGTCTGTCCTGAAGGCAGCCAGCCTGCTCGCCATGAGATCCAAAGACCCCGGCCCCCACCCGGCGGGGCTTTCTCCTCGGAATGTCGAGGCCGCCAAGCCGCTGAGCGGGACCTTCGCCCTCGGCAGGTTCAGCACAGACAGCTCCAACAAACGCCGCCAGAGCCCCGGCTTTCCGAAGACTCAGCGGCACGCCCCCAAGTCCCCACACCGCCGCCCACCTGCCACCGCGCCCTGGGGGAGCAGCTCCAGCTGCGTCCGCTCCCCGCCGGGGCCCCCTTCCCGGCTCGGCTGACAGTCCATTCGCGCCCGCACTTTCCGCACTCCCAGCGCGGGGGCAACAGTGTGTTTATGTACAAGCCAAAGCGCTGGCCAGCCACCCGCAACCTAAAAAGCCTTGTCCCTTGAGGATATCCCTACCTCTGTTACCTTTCGCGTCTTGGCGGGAAAAGCTTCCCGGCTGCGTAAACTGTGTCGAATCTGCGGATAGCGTTCTAAAGGCGGGGGATTTAAAAAGTTTCTCATTAGTGTCTCCTTTAGCTTTACGGACTATTTTCAAATGTTTTATTCTAACCCCTGCTGGTTTCCAAAGTGGAGGTGGCGGGAATGTTCCCTTAGAGTATCTAGGACGTTGTTCCAGACGCCTTTTCCATGTCGAATCTGGCGCTCTGAATGTCCAGGCTTAGCGGCGGCGAGGGGACCGAGAAAGGGCGGGGTGGGTCGGGACGAAGAGTTTAATTCCGTGCCTGGGAATCGCGATTACTTGGACTTTGGCATTTGAACGCATGCCTACCAAAGAAGAAAGTGTCGGTGGGGTTGAGCGGGTCAGGTGGCGGGTGAGGTGACTGTGCCGGCTGGAAACCCGAAGCCCGTAAACGCTTCCTCTCCCACGGCCGCCTCGCGAGCCGCGAGAGAACATGGCGGCCCCCGGATCCCGCGGCTGCAGCCTGGCGGGCCTGCTGCCCGCGCAGACCTCGCTGGAGTACGCCCTGCTCGACGCCGTCACGCCGCAGGAGAAGGACGGCCTGGTCTACCAGTATCTGCAGAAGGTGGACGGCTGGGAGCAGGACTTGTCCGTGCCCGAGTTCCCGGAAGGTGAGGGCGGGCTGCGGGGACCTCCCCTGGGGCGGGGGGCGAGGCGGGGTCGCGTGCTCCGCGGGGCCTGGGTCACCCCGAGCGGCGCCGGCGGTGGGTTTTTGGAGGGCGGAGGCCTGACTCTCCAGGAATGTACAGCGGCCCCCGGGCCACCCGCACTCCCACGATCGGGTTCCCAGCGTCGTCATCCTCCTCCTCCTGCTAGCTGACACAGGTCACTCTGTGTGCCACACGCAGTTGTCACCATGGCAGTGCCTGTCAGCCTATTTAATGTCCCTGCAGCCCGGGGAGGTGCTGGGTTCACAGGTCAGGAAGTGGGGTTCCCCAAGGGACCTGGCCAAGCGCCTTGCCCCGGGCCTCCCTCGCCCGTAAGAAACTGCCAGGGTTCAGTGCCAGCCTGCGGACCCCAGACTGGCCGCGCGCTCTGCTCCGGGTCCCCAGTCTTCTCATTGTTAAGATCTGAGTCCACGATAGCCGGGCCCACCTGTGTGAGCGTTTGGCCCAGGAGCGCTACTTGGAATGAAACTGTACCTCCCGTGGTTGGGAGTGGCATTGTTTTTGCCTGGTGCTGTTGGCTCGTGTCCTGGCATCGCACTGACACCACATGTATAGTTAATTGGTTGGATGCGGCAGGGTTCAGTGATCTCACGGAAGGCATGTAGACCCTGCTTCTAACTGCAGTCTGTCTTGGGTGTTTTTCCAAGCTTTTTGCACTGGCGCTGACAAGGGCTTCGTTTTTCTGATATTAATCTTATATTGGATTTGAAATACTGTGGAATTCTTACAGCAGAATTGAGTGGGTGTTACCCCGTCAAAGAAACCTCAATATATGCATGCTTTTGAAAAACTTAGAAGGTTGTTACATTGTACACTGCCCTCAGCAAGCAGACCACCAGCTAGGATGGGGGGGGCTTGTTTGTATTTACAGTGAGTGCATTTTTATTGCCATGAGATATGACCTCTGTGACCCACAAGTAACACACATAATCAGGCTTTGTCTTTGAGATAACCAGATTTGGTACTGGGCCTGATTATTGAGGTCAGACTTCTAGAAAAAATGAATATTCATTTCCTTGGTTTCTTTATCAGTAAACTGTAATTGGGAAGTCATAAATATAACTTTCCTCCAACACTGTTCGTTTTTTAGAAAAAAAAAAAGTGTATGGCAGGCAGAGCAGTGTAGTGGTTTGATCCCAACAGACCTGGGATTAAATCCCTGTTAACCCATTCCTTCTATGTAATTTTGAATGTGTTACTTGACTTATCCAAGCCTTACTTTTCTCACTTGTGAAATGGAACAAGTATTTCCCTTTCAGAGTTACGGTATGGAGGTAACATTAAAAGCTCTTAATTCAGAAGACACTTACAAAGTGTTAGTAGTTTATTGTATTAATTGTTGTTGTAAAATATACTTTTTTTTTTTTTTTGAAAGACAGAGTGGACAGTGAGAGAGAGAGAGAGACAGAGAGAAAGGTCTTCCTTTGCCGTTGGTTCACCCTCCAGTGGCCGCTGCGGCCAGCGCACCGCGCTGATCCAAAGCCAGGAGCCAGGTGCTTCTCCTGGTCTCCCATGAGGGTGCAGGGCCCAAGCACTTGGGTCATCCTCCACTGCACTCCCGGGCCACAGCAGAGAGCTGGCCTGGAAGAGGGGCAACCGGGACAGAATCCGGCGCCCCCACCGGGACTAGAACCTGGTGTGCTGGCGCCGCAGGCGGAGGATTAGCCTAGTGAGCTGCGGCGCCGGGCATAAATATACTGTTACTATCATTAAGTCTGGTAAGCTCGTAGCACAGTAACTGAAGTTTTTTTTTTTTTTTTAAGGTTTTGTTTATTTTAGAGGTAGAGCTACAGACAGAGAAGAGAGAGAGAAAGGTCTTCCATCCGCTGGTTCACTCCCCAGATGGCCACAATGGCTGGAGCTGAGCCCATCTGAAGCCAGGATCGGAGTCTTCTTCTGGGTCTCCCACACGGGTGCAGGGGCCCAGGGATTTGGGCCATCTTTTACTGCTTTCCCAGGGCATAGCAGAGAGCTGGATTGGAAGAGGAGCAGCCAGGACTTGAACCGGTGCCCATATGGGAGTCTGGCGCCACCGTGGAGGCTTAACCTACTGTGTGCCACAGTGCTGGCCCTTGATTCTTTCCCTACCTCTCAATCTGTCACTCTTGACTTTTACAGAAAAGTCATAGAAGACAGATTCATAAACACATGTTTGACAAATATGATGTGAGATCTGAGTATCCATTAATTAGTGTTGTGTTCCATGTCACACTTGATCTGGTATATGACTGACTTTGTCAGAATGGATGACTAAGGGGTCACTACTCTGAAACCTCACAGTTTGGACTGTGTGGCAGAAATACTAGTTTGGCTTCAGATTTTTTTTTCTAGAGTTTTGTCATAATTGAGCACCTGCAGTTACTATTATTAGGCATTAGTTACTGCAGTCATCCCTGTTTATCTGTGTTTTCAGTTACCTGTGGTCAGATGTGGTTTGAAAATATTGCATGGGAAAATTCCAGAAACAGGCAATTTGTAAGTTTTAATTGCACTTCATTCTGCGTGGTGCACTGAAATGCCATGCCGCCATGCCTTCCTGCTGCGTGGCGCCCAGGGTGTGCATCCTCCCTTGCACCACATACTGTAGGAGCTGTGTCAGTATCAGATCAGCTCTCTGGATATCACAGTGCTTGTGTCCAGGTAACCCTTGCTTTACTTAATCACAGCCCCAAAGCACAAGAATAGTGTTGCTGACAAATCAGACATGCCGGAGAATCTAAGCAGCGCTTGCTGTAAGTGAAAAGGTGCAAGTTCTCCACTAAAGGAAAGGAGGTGTCTCCCATGTGGAGGTTTCTAAGATCTGCGTAAGAAAGGATCTCCGTCTTTGAAATTGTGAAAACTGCAAAGAAATCTGTGCTGGTTTTCCAGTTGCACTTTAAACTGCAAAAAATTATCAGCCACTGTGCCCAATATGTGCTTAATTAAATAGAAAAGGCATTGTAGGGTCTGGCCATTTGACCGTTTCCAGCATCCAGTCAGGGTCTTGGAATTTTTCCCCCCTGAGTAGAGGGGAACTACTGTATTTATTTGTCCACCCGATTTTGGCTTTAGGTTTCTATAAAATATTTCCAAATACCCCCTTTAAGGTATGAGTAATTTGAATATCTACACTTATTCATTTAGGAGCAATAAAGTTAACATCTTTGTTTTCTTAAAATGGTTAAATCAAGATGCTGTATTTTTAATATTAGTTTAAATCTTTCTGCATAAGTACAGAGTTAAAATTGTGACTCATAGTCAAGTAATTGTAAATTCTGATTTCCAAAAGTACAGATTAATGAGATGTTTTCTTTGGGAAGATGGAACATGTTCTTCATCATTATTAATGTTGCTTCCCTGAAATCTGTAACAGTAACTGTATTTTCTGAATTTTGCATTTCAGATATTTTATTTTCTATTTAGTATCTCATCTAAATTCAGGACATTCCAGCTTCTTTATGAAATTGGCTTAGGCATTGTGTATGTCTATCCTTGTATACATTTCACTCTTTTCGAGATTTAGTTGTCTTTCTGTTTTTAAGCTTAATCTTCATTCTTAATACCTAATTGTGTATGCAGTTAGGTTCTCTGTATATTTGAGATTTCCTCTTGTTTTTGCATAAATGTGTTGTTTTATTTCCTTTCATACATGGACTGTCACACATTTCTGAAGGAATTTAGTGGCTTTTTCTTGCTGTATGTGCGGATGCCTCCTAATAGCAGCTTCCCACCCTCCACCCCTCCTACTTCCCTTAGCTGTGCTGCCATTGCCTCCTTCTCTTCCTGCTTCCACCTTTGAATCTCTACAGCCCTGCCTTCTTGGTCTTCTGCTTCCAGTCACAAACGCCTGTTTTGTCACAGTCATGAAGAGACATCGTGTCTTTTATTTACTGATAGAAAAAGGTGCTCTTTAATAACAGTAAATTCACCACCGCCTGAATGATGCTAAAATCTGTAGTCCCTTGACTGCGTGCGCTAGTTGTACAAAAAACAGATTCACATGTACTGGGGGAAGGTTTAGATCAATTTTTTTTGCTTTTCCTGTAATCAGTCTTTTGTGTGAGTTTCAGGACTAGAATGGCTGAACACAGAAGCGCCTATTTCCGTCTACAAGGACCTGTGCGGGAAGGTGGTCGTCCTTGATTTCTTCACCTACTGCTGCATAAACTGTATTCACCTGTTGCCCGACCTGCATGCCTTAGAGCACACCTATTCTGATAAAGGTATCTGCTCTCTGGTTTCTCACTCCTGGCGTAGGCGCAGAAAGAGTCGCTGACTCATTTGCTCATGGGAGAATGGACCTTTGGCAAGACTTCAGTGGTACTACAAGGAGTCTCCAGCCTAGGAATTAGGGACTCCATGTGCCTTCTCAAGAAGGGTTGAACTTAATGGTTTGCTTACCTAAAAAACCAGCATTTCGGATATGGCTTTTCTCTGAAGATAGGACATAATTTACTTTTTTATGAACAAGTATTTTAAAAGATCTTTTCGTGTTTCTAGACTTACTTTATGGTGTTCTATGAAAAAAATGAAACATATGACCCTAATTTTGTATTCATCTCACTGCGATATAAAGGTTTGAAGTTCTTATTTGGAAATGTGATTAGATTTTTGTTAATATCAGATGACATGAACTACAGTGGAATGCAGAATATTCTAATAGCCTTTATGACCTTGCTTCATTAAAAAATGATTTACAGCTAATGTTTTCCACAGTACACAGAAAGTCCTCTTTTATGGTATTACACATTCTGAAACTATAAAAGATTTCACTTAGTATTTGCTCTAGAATTTTGAAAAAATTTTTAGATCTTTTTTCTTGTTTACTTTTTTATGAAGCTAGTAAGGAAATGAATTTAAAGGTTCCCCTTAATTAGGTTAAAATGAATTGGAACTCTGTTTTTGGAATAGATAAAAAAAGAGATAAGAACATTGATCTGTGAGACTAGAGATAGGAATAGACTAAGTGTAGGTACTTCAGAAAGTTCATGGAAGAGTTGAATTAAAGATACAGCAAATTTTCCGTGAAACTTTTGAATAACCCTCATATATATACATACAAAAATTTAAGTATATCCTGAACCTTAGCTTTAAAAAGGGATGATATAAAAACTATAGTACAAGTAAAATTTCATCTTTTTAAATTGTAATAGACTGTGTTGGCGTACGCATTTGAGACAGTGGTCAAGGTGCCACCTGGGACGCCCACGTTGTGTATCAGAGCCGGGTTCAGCTGCCGGCTCCTCTGCAGCTCCAGCTCCCAGCCGATGCGCAGCCTGGGAGGCAGCAGCGAGAGTGCCTGTAGTCAGGTCCCTGCCACACAGGTGGGAGATCGGGGTGGAGTTCCCGGCTGCTGGTGTCGTTCTGGCCTAGCCCTAGCTGTTGTAGACATCTGGGGAGTGAACCAACAAATCTCTCTCTGTCTCCACCTCTCTCTGCCTTTAAAATAAAAAATAAATAATTTAAATTGTAGAATAGGTTTTATATTATAATTACCAATCCAAAGATGTATTGAGAACTTGAATGTTCCCAGCAGTTGAATCTTGTTTTCAAAAGTTCATCTGTATGGATTTAAGAAATATGGGTATCTGCCGGCGCCGAGGCTCACTAGGCTAATCCTCCGCCTGCGGTGCCGGCACCCCGAGTTCTAGTCCTGGTCGGGGCGCCGGATTCTGTCCCGGTTGCCCCTCTTCCAGGCCAGCTCTCTGCTGTGGCCCGGGAGTGCAGTGGAGGGTGGCCCAGGTGCTTGGGCCCTGCACCTGTGTGGGAGACCAAGAGAAGCACCTGGCTCCTGGCTTCAGATCAGTGTGATGCGCCGGCCGCAGCGGCCATTGGGGGGTGAACCACCGGAAAAGGAAGACCTTTCTGTCTGTCTCTCTCTCTCACTGTCCACTCTGCCTGTCAAAAAAAATATATATGGGTATCTTATTATCTCCTAGGTTTTGGAGCCTGTGTTTCTTGTTCAAGCCATCACATTATGTACATGTTGTGTACAGGGTACTCTGCTAACTGCTGAGAAAATATGTAACAAAGTTGACTGAAAAGCATGATGGAATCTGAGGCACTGAGTAGCTTGCTTTGCCTGGAAACACTGAAAACCTTTCTCAGTGAAGTAGACAATTGAGCTAGAACTTGAAACCCGATCTAGAGTGCAGCTGAAAATGAAAATGAGGCAGAAGGAGTACTCCTGGCCGAGGAAGTGTCAGGTAGGAGGTGGAAGGACAGAGGAGGAGCAGTCGTATCCTGGGTTACCGGTCACGGAGGGGAGAGCAGTCACAGGAGTGAGTTTCGCTGGCTTCTTTTCCTCAGCTTAGTGTAGAAATAAAAAGCCGGGAAATGATTTGCAAATAGACAGAAACTTCTGTTTGACAGAAAAGTGTCTGGTCCAAGAGGAGACCAAGCACTGGCTTCGAGGAAGTATCCAGGGTTTTTAAGACATTACTGTTTGGCCAGCGTTATGGCTCACTAGGCTAATCCTCTGCCTGCGGCGCCGGCACCCCGAGTTCTAGTCCCGGTCAGGGTGCCGGATTCTGTCCCGGTTGCTCCTCTTCCAGGCCAGCTCTCTGCTGTGGCCCGGGAGTGCAGTGGAGGATGGCCCAAGTGCTTGGGCCCTGCACCCCATGGGAGACCAGGAGAAGTACCTGGCTCCTGGCTTCAGATCGGTGCAGTGCACTGGCCGCAGCGGCCATTGGAGGGTGAACCAACGGTAAAAGGAAGACCCATGTCTCTGTCTCTCTCTCACTGTCCACTCTGCCTGTTAAAAAAAAAAAAAATAGACATTACTGTCTGTTCATTGGCTGGTCCTATTGGTGCCTATTGGATGGGAGTTCCACATTATGTTGATTGGCTTGGAGCGCATGGAGATAACAGGGGGTCTCCTGGAGATGACCAGTCTCCCCCTTAGGGGCTCAGCCCCCTCCTGTGCTAGCTCTGCGTGGAAGATTGCAACTAACTTGAAGGCATGATTTAGAACGGCAAGGTCACATAAGGTAGCCGGGATCTCCTGGAGCCAGTCCGACTCTCCCCAGGGGGTCAGCCCCTCCCCTGCCAGCTCTGGGTGAAAGATTGCACCCCCTCAAAGGTGTGACTTAAAGCCGCAAGGTCACACGTGCAGCACAAGAAGTAGTTAGTGAGGGAGATGCCGGTTGGTGTGGAGACAGGCTTTCCAGGCACAGCTGGCAGCCTGGTTGTGGACATTCTACCCACGTCTGGGGGACCACAGACCCCCCCCTCCCCCCAGCCCCACTAGATGGCCTCATCTTGCTCCAGGGACATGTAAGTAGTTTAGTACGTGAAGATCATAGGGCTTGTGGTGAACATAAAGGAAGACAGAGATAGGTTCGATAAGGAACATGTTACGAAGTCCGTTGTACGGCATTCTTAATAGTTTAGACTCTTTCTTCCATTGAGAATATGGAGACCTTGAGAGTAGGGGCTATCCTTTTTTTTTTTTTTTTTTTTTTTTAAAGATTTATTTGTTTATTTAAAGTCAGAGTTAGAGAGAGATCTTCCATTCACTGGTTCACTCCCCAGATGGCCACAACAGCCAGGGCTGGGCTAGACCAAAGCCAGGAGCTTCATCCAGGTCTCTCACTTGTGTGTCAAGGGCCCAGGTACTGGGCCATCTTCCATTGCTTTTCCCAGGCCACTAGCAGGGAGAGCAGGGAGTGGATAAGAAGTGGAGCAGCTGGGACACAAACCGGTGCCCCTAAGGGCAGCTTCACCCTCTATACCACTACACCGGCCCCCAAAAGTAGATTTTGATTTGTTTTTTAGTAGAAGGATGATAAGATTTGTGTGTTAGAAAGGCAGTACATGTTAGGTTAAGAATACCAAAATTAGCCTTTTCCATACCCAAGATCACCCTTAAAAGGCTAATTTGGTTAACTTAATTGGTTAAGTCCATATTCAGAAGCAAATTCAATGACTTCCTAGAATGGATCCTTATAATTTTCTATCAGTTTACTAGAAACAGTTTGTAAAGCACTTTGTTACAAAAAACTGAAAATATTTTTTGGGGGGAGCAGCAGAGGATGGCCCAAGCACTACCCCTTTGGGAGACCCAGACGAAACTCTGGCCTCGGCTTTGACCTGGCCCAGCCCTGATTGTTGGTGGCCATTTAAGGAATAAACCAGTGGATGGAAGCTCGCCCTCTCCCTCTCTGCCTTTCAAGTAAATAAATCTTTAAAAAATTTTTTTACATACAAATACACTTTTGGGAAATAAAATACTTTAAAAAATAAAGATAGGATTCTGGGGAGGTGGAACAGTGGGAAGCAGCAGAAATCTGTCCCTACCTAAACTAGTACACCAGTAGAATCCATCTCACGTAACTGCTTTGGAACTCTGGAGTCTATATTGCAGGCTTACCACTACCAGGGGGACGATTTCAACTGTGGAGTGTGTTTCATTTCAATGAATGTCAGCTCTTAGCACAATAGCCACCACCTAGCTCCAGCTCCATGGCAGGCAGTGGTGCACATACTCCTGGAGCAGCTGGCTTGCAGCTTCTGGATGCCATGATGGGCAAAAGGGCCCTGTTCTCCCATGTCAGGGATCTGTGTTCTGATCATGGGTTGTTTCTACTGATCACAGAGATAGAGACAAAGACAATGGCCATTGTTGTACATTCCCTCATTGTTGTAAGCCACCCTCCCAACACGCATACCTTGCTAAAATGACTAAAAGGGCATTTAAAAGACCATTTCTTTTTTGTACCCCTTCATTTTTCTCTTGTGGGAGCCAAACATTGAAGATTAGAACCTTGAGAAGCAGCAGCACACTCAAGGGAACTTGAAAAGTCATTACACATACCCGGGGAAGGTCCAGGCTAAGAAAAGACCTGAAAACTCCTTAAATGTACTCCTCAGAGCGATTGTTGGCAGAGAGTGTGACAGTCAGAAAAGCAGGAACCAGCAGACCTTGGGAGAAAAGGACAACCTGATGTTTTGAGATGCAAATGTCTAGTTTTTAACAAAAAAAAAAAATCACAAATCATACAAGAAACAGCTGTCATGAAGATAAAGCACTAAAGGAGGACATAGAACAAGTAAACAGTATATGATCAAGATAGAAATAATAAAGAGAGAACTTAAAAATCCCAAAAGGAATTTTATGAGCCAGAAGTATACTAACTGAAATGAAAATTTCACTACAGAAATTAAAAGGCAGATTTGAGTAGGCAGAAAAAAGAATCAGCAAACCTGAAGAACTACAAGTTAT